CTTTCTGACCTCTTTAATGTCTTTTGTAACACGTGTTTGTCAAGTTTGCATCTAAATCTTTCATTCAGGCTCTGTGTCAGAACTGGTAAAGGAAATCATCCTGGACATGGCATGTTTGAGTGACTTCACACGATAAAGCTTAGATAAAATATTAGATGGAGAACAGCAAGCAGAAATAGTACCTGAAGATAAAATTAAGACAAGCAGGGACCTTATACAACTTGTATGAAGTGATAGGGAATTTAGCTTTTATTCTGGAGATAACGAAAAGCTATTGGATAATTTTTAGCTGAAAGTAGACTAGATTTGCATTATATAAAAATCACTCATAGCAAGTGGAATGTAGACCAGCAAAGAAATGTATGAAAGATAATTTTTAAAGCTAACCAGCCCATTTAGGAATGATGGCCCATAAGGTCAGTTTCTTTACCACTGTACTCTCAAGACATAAATAAGGTCATTGGCCAAAGATTAGGCCTACAATTGGCAACTATTAGGTATCACTTGTGCCTAATTAGTCAGTAGTCGGGTCTCCTATCCTCTCTACCCTTCCATTGCCCCACAATCTTTGGGGAATTGCAAGCTGTTTCCTGTGTATCTGATTACTCCTAGTATCAACATCAATTTCAGAACTGAATAGGAATCTGCAAACCTCATATGATATGCCATTCTGAAATAGTTGCAGATCTTAGGTTTGTCTACTCTCTTAAGTTCCAAAAATAATGACCTCCAAGGAACATTCTAAATGTTAGACATGTGTATTGATTTTTACTTAGAATAGAGTGCTATTTTCTTTTCATTCTTTTATGCAACAAATATCTTAAATTTATCCCTAGCAACTCAGAAATATTTATGTGCTAAAGTATAGGCCTGGCTTTTCAGTTCCATTTTATAAGCGTTCCAAGTGAATGTAAAGTAGATGAAGAGTAACAAATAGAAATGGGTAAGAAGATTCTTACGGGCGATATATGTTGAACCAGGACTTTAAGCAACAGGGACTTGATAAATAGTATGGTCGTTTGAGGCATAGAAAAAGGACTAAAACAGGAATAAGCAAGATTGGAGACTAGAGCCAAGGAGGGACCATACATTTATCAGTGGGTATAACAAACTCAGTTAGGTTCATGAATAGATTCTGTGATTTCCATATTAGTCTAAATATTTAAACAGTTGAAAGTAGGTTTTATTGCTGTTATACTATAGGCGTTAGGGGAATCTCTTTTTTTGTATTCCATTTCTAATTGGATTCTAAAGTTAAGCAGTATTACTAACATTTTAAATATGTTTTGGGAAATTTTTATAGTGCTCATGTGTAAAATAGTATTTGATATTATCTACTGGTGATACTGTGGAGATATCTTACAGTGATGGAATACAGTGAAAAAGAGCGGTAATAGCAACCAATTACTGATATTGGCATGTTTGGCAATCTCATATGTGGCCCTCTCACCACCTTTTGAGAATCACTCTGATGCAAGTTTCAAAATTCATGGTTATGTGNGGCCCTCTCACCACCTTTTGAGAATCACTCTGATGCAAGTTTCAAAATTCATGGTTATGTGGTTATAAATGCAGCTTTTCAAATACCTCACAAAATTTGAAAGCAAAATGTAATATAGTCAATTCTTTTTATTTTTCTGAAAGCTGATTTATGAAGTATGAATACTTTGCATTTAGAAGGTTTTCATCATTATTAGCAGTGGGGTTAATGTAGAACTTTTGGATTTCATTGTGTCTCTAATTTTTCTTGAGTTAGTATCTTTTCTGGTCCTGGAGAATCAACATGAGAGAGCAAAGCTAATCCAAGTGTTGCGGTAGGATGAACACCATCACCAGCCCCTTTCTACTTTGCATTTGTCAGTTTCACTCTCATAAAGTCAGGTAATTTATACTTGTACTGTTATACTGTACATTTATTAGTATACATGGAAATTGGTTTTTGTCTTTGTGTATAGGGTTATATGGAAAGGATTAAACCAATGGTGAGAGATGGAGTTTATTTCCTATATGAGGCCCTACATGGACCACCAAAGAAAATCTTGGTAGAAGGTGCAAATGCAGCACTATTAGATATTGATTTTGGTAAGTGAGATATGATTTATAGGAAGCTTAACTGACCCCAGAGTACTTAAGATATAAATAAGTAATGTTACTGTTAAGGAGTTTTAAGGCAATGCTTTTAGCTTGTGTATTCAGGAATGATGGAAGTTTGTCATCTTATACCATCTTATCTTTTTTTAAGGGAATATTATGGAAAGCACAGTACACGTGTTAAGTTTTCTGGTTCATTGGAAAAATGAAATGATGATTTATGTTCAGTGGGTTTGGGGTTCTATAAATTGTGGTTTTCATTGTTTGGTACATGGTTCAACTCCAGACCTCATTTCTCTGGAATTATGTGATAAGATGGAAATATCTTCATCTTTAGTTCAATCTTTTAAAAAAGATATACATTATTTAGCATTCATATTCTAAGATCTGTGAAAGCTTATTTACATTAATTAACTCCTTGGGCATGAGACTCTTTGAATGGATTCAGAGCATTTCTTTCATCTTCAAAAGGTTAATACTTAACTTTTTCAAACTACTGCCCCATTAATTTGTTGTCCATTTCATCTAAACACGGTTTCTCATGATTAGTCTGATTGTTTTCAGATCTTACTGACATTTCATTGACTTTTGACCCCAAGTAAACCAAATAAAGAAAGTTTATTTCTATATAATAGTTATGTATTTTTGGTACTATAATATGCTGACCAATCTGGAAAGAAAGCAGACTGTCTAATTAGCAGAGTGAGGGCTGGCCAGTTAGCTCTCTTGGTAAAGCATGGTGCTGGTAATACCAAGGTCAAAGGTTCGGATCCCTGAACTGGCCAGACACACACACACAAAATTAAAAAATAGAGTGAATAGTTAAATATGAAGGGGATCTTCGGGGGAGAAAAAGTACACCACTCTCAATTTACTGTCATAATTCTGGGGTTATTCCCTGAATGGAGATCAAAAGCTGGGGTAATGTTGAATACCACAAAATTCTCAGTGTATTGCTATCACTCCAGATTGCTGCTGCACCTTAAGTATTCATTTCAGGGAGTTGTATTTTTTTTTAAACTAACAGGAGACTGTTAAAATACTTAGGTGGGTTTCAGCATTGAGTTCTTTTGCACCCTGCTGAATCCCTACCATACAGAGCTGAGTCAGTAACTGTGCACTCAAGGTGCATCTTTACTGTGAGCTCTAAGCCCCTATATTTTTATCTCATTACAGACAAAAAGAATCAAGGATGAAACAGTGAGGCTTTGAAAGGGCAGTTACAGTTATGTTCTGTTTTACCATGTGTATGCATGCATGTGTATTTTAATGTTTGTTTCTATTTTTAGGGACTTATCCGTTTGTAACCTCCTCAAACTGTACTGTTGGAGGTGTTTGTACTGGTTTGGGAATGCCTCCTCAGAATGTTGGAGAAGTGTATGGAGTTGTGAAAGCTTATACAACTAGAGTTGGTATCGGTGCCTTTCCCACAGAGCAAGACAATGTATGTATTTCTCAGTAAATCTAACTTAAAAAGTATTAAAATAAAAATTCATGCTTTGGGGTTTTTTTCCTTAATGAATTCTTGTCCCCTGTGCCTTTGGCTTCATTTGCAAGATTGATCAGAGCAACATTTAAAAATATATATATATAGGGCCGGCCCGGTGGCGCACTGCTACAGTGCGCCACTTGGGAGTGTGACGGCGCTCCCGCCGAGGGTTCGGATCCCACGTACAGACCAGCCGCTCACTGGCTGAGCGAGGTGCGGGCGGAACACCGAGGGTTGCGATCCGTTGCCGGACACGAAAAAAGACAAAAAAAGGAAAAAAAATATATATATAGAGGGCCGGCCCGGTGGCGCACTGCTACAGTGCGCCACTTGGGAGTGTGACGGCGCTCCCGCCGAGGGTTCGGATCCCACGTACAGACTGGCCACTCACTGGCTGAGCGAGGTGCGGGCGGAACACCGAGGGTTGCGATCCGTTGCCGGACACGAAAAAAGACAAAAAAAGGAAAAAAAATATATATATAGAGGGCCGGCCCGGTGGCGCACTGCTACAGTGCGCCACTTGGGAGTGTGACGGCGCTCCCGCCGAGGGTTCGGATCCCACGTACAGACTGGCCACTCACTGGCTGAGCGAGGTGCGGGCGGAACACCGAGGGTTGCGATCCGTTGCCGGTCACGAAAAAAGACAAAAAGGAAAAAAAAAAAAATATATATATATATATATATATATAACTGTAATGATGTCAGAATACAAGAGGTAGTGAAATAATAGCTATATACAGAAAGGTACAAAGAAGGGAATGGGCAGATCATAGATAGGAAAAATAGGGAGTAACTAGCTTAGCTCTTGGAGTGTGGTTTTCAATCTGAAATTTCTTCAGAAGGGCATTTGTGATATCAGCAACTACTTATTTAAATGTGTTTTCCTTATGGTTTTGAGGAAAAATATCAAACTACAGGTCTTGGAACAACTGGCTAGACTTGTTTATTTTAGTAAATACTTGTTTATTTTAGTAAATACTTGTTTTTAATAGGCATTATTTAGTTATTTATTATTTTTTTTTCTAATCTAAATTTTAGGAAGTTGCCTACATAACATTGTAAAAAATATTGGTTTTAAAAATAGTAAAAATGAAGCCAAAAGTGGATCTATTTCAAATAATGCCTCCCTTAGATAAAACCTATTATTTCTATGAAATTCTGTCTTCAATTTAGTTATTTTTGGAAAGGTGTTTATGTCAGCGAGGCTTTGACTTCTTGTATGATCTCTGGTATATCTCCACCAGATTTATAGAATTGGTATTCCAATACTAAAGTTCTATTTTCTGTTCTCTAGGAAATTGGAGAATTATTACAAACAAGAGGTAGAGAGTTTGGTGTAACTACTGGAAGAAAAAGAAGATGTGGCTGGTTAGACCTTGTTTTGCTCAAATATGCTCATATGATCAATGGATTTACTGCGTGAGTATTCTTTGGAAACATTTATTTCAGGAAATCATAGGACAGGATGACCACAAGTTTAATTTTGTGGAGTTCAAACTTGAGATTGTACCCTAATAGAGAAATTTCACTCTTTAGCCACCAAATTGAAGTTATAGTTCCTGGTAGAAGTGGACCAAGATAGAAGGGAAGGATACACAAGGAGAGGGACCCCAGTTATTTTCCTAGACATCCAAGGTTGGTAGAAGAGAGTCATGATACTCTTAAATGTCTGTAAGTATAGAGGGAGGCCAGAAAGGTAGGCAGGCAGGTGTGTGGAAGGATGGCTGGCTGGCTGGATAGGTAGCGGGAGTAAGCGCAGAGTGTGTAGATAGAGAGAGGGGACGCGGCACAGAGATTTAGTGCAGGGGGCTGACATCTGACTTCCTAGATTCAAATCTCAGGTCCAGGCATTACGCTTGTGTAACTGGGCAAGTTAATCTTTCTGTACTACAGTTTCATCATCTTTAAAATCTAGATAATAGTATTACCTGCTTCACAGAGCTGGTTTGAAAATCAGGTGAGAAATGTAGTGTGAGAATATAGAACACTGCCTGGCTCACTGAAAATGCTCAGGAAAAGTTAGTTGTTATTAACACATATATAAATATGTAAATGGATATATTTATATCTGTATTAATTAGGCTGAGCTCCTAGCAAATACCAGAATAAACGATAAAAAAAATTGTAAACAAGAATCCCAAACCTAGCGTTTTATCTAATTTCCACAGATTTTCCCTTAAAAACCCGTTTCCCAGTCCGTTTATCAAGAAATTTTATTTATTTATTTATTTATTTACTTACTTACTTGTTTTTTATTTTAACTTCTCAATATACATTGTAGTTGATTTTTGTGACCCTTTACCTGTTCCTCTTTCCCCTCTCCCCCGCCCCCCCATCATATTTGTTCATTTTATCAAGAAATTTTGATGTATCATGAAGAGGTCCTTGATGTGGTTTCCTTCCTCTTTGACAATTTCTGACCAGAAGGGTGGAGGTATTGGTAACCAGAGTGAACAACTGAGGGATGATGGTGTGTGTGTAAATGTACTTTATCTTGTGGTCATCCGTGTGGACCAGTGAGTTCTGCTGTGTCCCATGGCTAGAGTGCGTTCCTAACTCCAGATAGCCCTCCCACAAATATGTGTCATTGATCAGTCATAAGAGAGCTAAACAGGAGTGTGTGGATCTATCCTCAAAAATCTGTTGTAATTACTACAGAAGTAACTCAGTATAATACACACCAATATATTGTCCTCTAGTGTTTTATGTGTGGCACGCTTTAAAATATAATCCTAACCAGTTTTCAGAATTGCTTTGGAACGTTTAGCTTTGCATGAATTTTCCTTTACTCCCGCACCAATCAAATTAGATAATAGGGCCTTTAAGAGTTTGCTGTTTTAACATTACCTCTTCTTCCAAAATTAGGTTAGCACTTACCAAGTTGGATATTTTGGACACGTTTACAGAAATCAAAGTTGGAGTTGCTTACAAGTTAGATGGTGAAATCATACCTTATTTCCCAGGTATGCTTTTTAGGCTTTGTCTAAGGAGTATTATAAGCTGAATGTATTAGAAAAATTTTGTAAAGCTGTTTGGTATAATTTTTATATAGCCCCGGGCTTGATATGCTGTTTGTGTAAGTATGTTCACTTGTTAGCAATTGGTTCATAGCTGCTGTTCATTTGGATGCTTGGTCACAACAAGCATGTGTTCAAATTCAAAATAGGAAAGAAGAAACGTGGCTCTTGAGTTTCATCTTCCCTGTTTTGACAGTAATTACCATGGAGGTGTTCCTTCCTTCCTTGAGAACAGTGGGGTAAGAGAGAAGAGCCCTGCTTGTTGTAGTAAGCTGACTCTCAATACAATAACCCACCCTGTCCTTCAAGCCCCATGAATGATTTTCCCCAATCTCTATTTTGTGTTTAAAGTAGGTGGATATAGGGAAACTTCCTACCTGAGGCAATGTTTTTTCAGGCATATCTTGAGTTATATGATTTCTTCAGTTACTCAGGAAATTCCCATAGATGTTTCCAGCTACTATAAATAGAGACTGTTAATGTTTTAGTTTAGTCATCTGATATAGATTGGGAATATAACAAATGAAGAAATATTGACCAGCTTAATGAAACTTGGTAGACTGGTAGGTTTTGTGACTTCCTAATGACAACTAGTCCTTGGGAATTGAGGATAACTAAGTTCTTAGAAAATAAACCTGTATCATTTATCTTTTGTACTTATAGAAAAAAGGTATCTGTTGATATTGTAGGACACTATTCACTCGAAAAACTGGTTGTTCCAATATATGTTATGTCCTGGTTGTCAATTCTACTTACTAAGCTATTTAAAATAACTCAAGCACCAAAGAGAAGAGTCTAATCAAATATAATGACATCTGGCAAGAGCTACCATAGAGAACAGTGCAGCACATTCTTTTAAAATATTAAAAACTAACAAAACAGATAAAAATTGTCAATTTTATGAGTTTCTTTTTAAAGCTGAGATAGCTGTTTCTGGTCAGGTGCTCCTGGAAACACTCTGAGATGGAGATTTGAATCAAAAAAGCTTAATGGAGAATGCTTTCAGCAACATCACTTGTGAAGGGAGCAGAGGAAGTAGTTGAAACACAGGCATCCATTCCCATGCGAAGCTGTAGAGCTAGGATGACCCTTTAGAGTTGTCCTAGATTGAGGCAAATGGCCAGAACTTCGTACCTCCCAGCAACCAGCCAGTAAATGAGGGCTGTACCTTGGGTGAGGTAGCTCCCTTTGGCCAAGGGCAGTTCTGGGGATGGGGCTAAGCTGTGGATCATCAGAATGTAGTACCTTCCTCTTAGCAGCAGGGGAGTGCCTCTGTCTTAATGGGGGTATTCTGGGCACCACACCACAGTACAGTCCACCCTTGTGCAGGATTCTGGTTGGTATCTTTCCTAAGGAAACTTACAAGAGAAAGAGTGTTATAAATTAGCTCCTACTGTGGCTATCACAGTGGGAAAATAGAAGGAAGAGTCGCATTAAACTTTAAGGCTCCACCCTGTCTTACTGGATTTTAATATGCCAGATGCGAGTAGACAAGGAGAGGAGTCACTGGAAGGAGTAATTGATTCTGATAGTCAAGAAGAGGTAGGGCTGTTGTTTCACAACATGAGTGGGGAAGAATATGTTTGACACCCAGATGATAATTGGATGTCTTTTGTTATTTCCCTGCCCTTCACTGACACTAAATGGACTAACAAGTCAGCCAAGGCCTGAGAAGGGTATAAGTGAGCAAACTCAGATGACTCAGGATGTAGGGCTGGACCCCCAGTTCATACTGATTATCTCCCTCTTCTACTACTGATCTGGATTCTCTTCACCTTCAGCTAACATATTTACTGATCTAGCTGGCTTACCTGGTGAAATGCATTTTTTGAAGCCTTCTGTTTTTCCATTATAATAGGCCAAGGAACCAATATGGGGGTCTGGTACCTACCAAATATGTTTATTTCAGTTTTGTATTCAGTGACTGGAGAAATGACCACTGGGTGAATTTGTGAACTCATGGTGAGCTAGGCTTGGGCTAAGATTCCATTTATAACCTGGCTCCCATTTGGCCCATTATTAACAGGGGGGTCCCATGGTATCAATGTCAACTTGAACCTTGTGTCTAACAGTCCTCAAAATGACTGGGTATTCCCCTTTCCTCAATGTATGGTGAGGTATCATTACTATATATACTTGCTGTAGTGTTGTATAGAGTCCAGCCTACTAGGAACTTAGCCTCTCAGACAATGATATCCAGATGTGAAAGTGGTCATTACTTTTTATTGAAGCACTGCCCTTGGCCTCTTGATAATCCATTGTTGACTTTATTTAGAAACTCATTAAAATTTCCTTTGTAGATTAATACCCTTGTTGACTACCTGTCTAACTGGCTCCTAATCTCTGTGACGGTCAGGCCCTCTTAGCTGTCACTCTGACTGCTATTCATAATGACAATTAAACCTACATTGCTTCTGAAGGTTAAGTGCTGCCACCTGGCCTTGACTCTTTGTGCATCCTGTCATCTCCATTGCTATTAGGTATCTCAGTCCTATAATCTCCTTCCGTCAACCCCGGGGTTTGTAAGGTAATCATCACTAAGCTTTTCAGCAGTACTGATGCCCTTCTTACCAGTGCAGCTCTCATCACTTTGGAAATGAGTTCCTTCAAGACACTCCTGTGTAATTTTGTCAGCTGATGGGTTTTCTGGCCTTGAATAGTTTCTCTTTCTTCTCCTTTTGGGATTCCAGTTATATTTATATTAGACTTTTTCATATAATCCAATAAGTCCTTGAGGTTCATCTTCCTTCCTTGTCTGTGTTCTTCAAACTAGATTATTACTGTAGATCTCTCTTCAAGTTTACCCTTTCTTCTCCCCTTCTCCAGTAAGCTTTTAAATCCAGCCTGTGAATTTTCATTTCTAGAATTTCCATTTGGTTCTTTTCTATACTTTCTATTTCTCTGCTGAGATTCTCTATCTGTTCACTCATTAACAACCAAATTTTCTTACTTTATATTAACTATTTTTTCCTCTTAGCCCAACATCTGGGCCATCTCATTTGGTTGCTCTTGGCTATTCTTTTCCTTGATTGTGGATCACTGTTTTTATGCCTAATGACTTCGGGTTGGATATTGGACATTGTAGATAGTACGTTGTAGAGACAGATTCTGTTTACTTCTACTGAATAGTATTGATTCTTATTTTAGGGGACAATTGAACTACTGACTGTCTTGAACTTGATTTTCCGCTTTGTTATTGTAGTTAAGTGGAGAGCCCAAGATATTCCCCAAACCTCTCTAACCTGGTATGAGTTAGTATCCAAATTCTGTCTCTTCTGCGGATCTTGGCAAAGCTGATTTTAATCTACTTTATGAACGATCTGCAGTAGGTTTCACTGAAGGGTATGGTTTTTATTCTTAAGGAGCAGTCTTTCTAGTGTCTCAGCTGGATGCCAGGAGAGTTAACAAAGTGGAATAATGAGATCTCTCCAATCCAGCAGTGCTGGAGCTCCAGTGTAACCTGTCCCTTCCTTTCCACCAGCACTGCTTGACCTCTAGAATTTTTGTCCCACCCTCGGCTGTGTAGCAGCTGCTCTCTGGTAAGCCTCTGATGGTCCTGCTCTTTCAATGTTCACTCAAGCCTTAGCATGGGACTCTCACCTTGACTTCTGGGGGGCTACCTACCACCAGTGATGGTCCATGTTGCCAGCCAGCTGGCCAGTGATCCAGCTCTAAGTTCCCATTTTAGAGCTTTCTTCCTCAAACCATTCTTGGCTCCAGCTGTCTGAGATTGAGTTATCTAGGAAACAGCCTCTGATGTAGAGGTTTGCATGCCGGTAGTTTGTTCATAAGTGCTCTGAAGAACAACATCTGTGAGGGAGTAAGAGAAACAAGATTAAGCAGAGGAAGAAGTTGGACTGCAGTGTAGTTGCATAAAAAGCCCTTAGCTGACCCCATGGGGAGTTCTGGAGCTAGAATGGCCCATCAGAGTTGTCCCAAATTAAGGTAAGTAGCCAGGTCCCTTTCATTCCCACACCAAGTCATTGGACGTGGTCCGCTCCAGAGCGGCAGCTCCCTTCAGTGGAGGGCCAGTCCTTGGGAGGCTCTGAACTATGAGTGGTCAGCAGGCGGTACTCCCAGAGCTGTCAGTCTTGAAGAGGGAAGTCTGGCCAGTGTACCATAGCATCCACTGTACTGTCTCTGGTCAAAGAAACTGTCATTATTTATAGTACATTTTCAGTTTCTATTAAGGGATACAGAGAAAATGGGTGGAATAATGAAGAAAATTTCAATCAAAACAATAGGAGATTTCTCAGAAAAAAGCAGGCATGCAAACCTTTTTGTGAGGTTGCTGTCATTACAAGGACTCACAGTTCCTGATTGATTAAGTATAGAAATTCAAAAAGGTTTAAAAATGGAAAGTTTTAAGTTTGGCACCAAAACTCATTTGACAGAAAAACTTGACTTGAACTAATGTTAGAACTACATAATCTTTTCCTTCTTACAGCAAATAATTATATGTTGTTACAGAAACATGTTTGATTATAGAATACTATCCCAGATAGTATATACACTTTTTTTTTTTTTACCTTTCTAAAACCTGAAAAATTCTAAATTCCAAAACACATTCGGCTACAAGGATTTTGATAAGAGATTGTGAACCTGTGGTATAACAAAAAGTTGTTTGACAATAGGCAGTGTGTACCATGAACAAATACATTCTTTAACTTTTAGCAAACCAAGAAGTCTTAAATAAAGTTGAAGTTCAATATAAGACTCTCCCAGGATGGAACACAGACATATCAAATGCAAGGACATTTAAAGAACTACCTGTAAATGCACAAAATTATGTTCGATTTATTGAAGATGAGCTTCAAATTCCAGGTAAACATAAACACTTTGTGAGCAAACTTTCTTTACTTTTTCTGCACTTAACTTACCTGTCTGCCTTTGAAATAGAATAAAAGAAAGATTATTATTACTTTTCAGAGTGCTCCTGGTTTGCGTAAATGTCCAGGAAGATATAAAATAATTTTATTCCTTAAAGTAAATATAATATCCATCTTTGAATAGAAGATAATAGATGAACTCTCACCCTTTCTGGCCTTGTGTTTAATTGTTAGTCTGTTTTTTACCCTGTGACATTCATTCTCGTTCCCTTTTTTTAATCTTTACCACCATCAAGAATGGTTTATGGTTTTTTTTATTTGGGTTAAACCACCCTTGAGAGGTAGGGGAGTTTCTTGAATAGACATTAGGAAATAATAGGTACAGAAAATAAGAAATCCCATTAGAAAAAAATATAAGAGAATAACAAAGAATAGTAAAGCTTCTTCATTAAAAAACAAATATAAGATGGCTAGGGAGATAGGCATAATGAAGTTATGGCTGTATCTAGTTATGTGAAATTTTTTAACAGATTGCATTTTTCCTTTTATTCTTATATTTGCATTAATGGAAATTTGAGAGACAAGAAAAAGTGAACTGGGTGGAAGGTACCGTTCATATAAAATCTGTTATGTACTTATTCTGATTTGGTATTGTGGTTCATTTCAAACATGACTCTTATTTTCCAAATTGCTAGCTGCCCCTCCCAGCTTGATGTCAAATTTAGTAAGTATATTTGCTTACTGCTTTTAGCCAACATTTTTTGAAATACAAGCAGCAGTGAGTCTAACAATGACCTAATAAAATATCATAGAGGTTTATCCTAATAGTACTTTGCAGAACTCAGTAATTCTGCAAATAATCTAAAACCATGTGGTGCAGATGATAAGCGTTTCCTGTAGACTGGTGCAATAGGCAGTTTCTAAGGCTGTGCAAATTAAAATCATATTCTCTTCCATATATTTCTACAGTTTTTGAGATAGAAAAATTACAGGCACATTAATATCCTCTTAGCATCATCTACTTGTCAAAGGTGCTTATTTTTTCTGGTTATCCGGAACTTGATCAAAGATTCTTTAGGTTTCTGCTGGTTTGGGCTAATATTTTACTATCCTAGTCATTAGGAATAAAGAAATTGTAAATATTGGGCAGTTAAAACGGATTGGTAAGGCAAACTACCCAGCGCTGGATCTTGGCTGCACATCCTCCTTGGAAATAGGCACAGTCTGCTAACAGAACAGGTAACAGACAGCAAAAAGTCACATAGGGAAAAGTTAAATGGTGATGCTGAGAAAAGTAGGGGACTACCTATCTTTTAATCCCAAAGATTGAACATTATAAATGAATTAATGCTATTCTTATTCTCTTGTTTTTTTGCAGTCAAATGGATTGGTGTAGGTAAATCCAGGGAGTCTATGATTCAACTGTTTTAAGAACTGCCAGTAATGCAAGAAACACTCCTTGAGCAGGAGGGAAGAGACTTTCTTAAATATTTCATTTATGACCTGCAAATTCAAGGGAAAAGACATTGAAGGGAATTTTAAGCTCTGCAGTGGTTGCCAGTCTTTCAAGATGGATGGCTGTTGTGGAGGTGAACTTTGGCAGGTTCCAGTGTCAGCTTTCCTTAGCTGGCATAATTGCTGAATCATTTATTGCTCCTGCTGCTCCTGGTGCCATGTTTTCTTTTAATGTTTAGTAATAGTATAATCCCTGTTGTTTGAAATCTGAAACAATTACTTTCAGTGTAGTTTTTTTCATTATTGTCATTGAGTGTTCCTAGGTTTCACCCCCATTAGATGGTAAGAACAGTTACTGCAGTTTTGCACAAATATTTTTACATTCTGATCATTCACTTCTGTCATTGTTATCTTTGCTGTTAGATAAAATGATGAAATGATAGGGGTTCTATAAACTTTTGTAATGCTATAAATTCTGTTTAAATTGTAAACTGTTTATTTTCTGCTGAAACCATTGCAAAATTGAGCTTTGGCAGGGGAGAGGGGGTGATATTCATGGATCCTTTAATTTGTACAGAACTTACTCTCTCTGTAAATTATTTAATACGTTGAACATTTAATTAAATGTTCAAAGAGAAAAGATGTTCCCCCAAACAATAATCTTAATGTTAAAAAAAAAAAAATTAGTCATTAAAAGATCTGTTGTGATATTTGGTGGATATTTTTCTTTAATTTCAGACATTAACTCTGAAATGTATATCTTTCCTTTTTTTAATCTTACCATTATTTCTTAATCTAGTGGATTGATTTTTCAACGTTGTGCCTGCCAGTATGCCTACAAAATCATCTATAAGTGTCCAAATGAATTCAAGTTGTTGGCCATAATTTTGATCATGCCTCTATTTCTTCTTTCTTAAAAGGAAAATAAAAAAAGGTGTTATGTTGACAATTAGGCTTAGCATATTATGTTGTAGATTCTTCTTCAATGAACTATTTTACATGTTTAAATTAGGTGCCACTTAAATTTATTTTATTATACCATCAATAGCTAATTAAAAAGAACCAAATATTTCTAGTATGCTTTGTGTGTTGTGTGTTTGTTCTGATAACAGATATACTACTATATAGGCAGGAACTTTATTCCTGCAATGTGTGGGTATAAGGTAGGGAGAAATCAAAAATAGAATCTTTGAAAGGATCTAAATATATTTTATCTTTACTGTGTATATTTTTATTAATTCTTGGTTCAAGAAAAATTCTAAAATAGGAACAGCCTTATTGGACTCAATAAATAAATAACATTACAGATGGTCCCACAAGCCCACTGCTAATCAGTAATGACCTACATATAAAAAGAATAATTTATATTTAATATATAATAAGTAATTTCTATTTATTCTAATGGAAATTGAATGGGCTTTTAAAGTCCACATTCTTATCTTGGCTATAAGCATTGCATTATTGAAACATATTTTTAGTAATGGTCCAGAAGCAGATACAAAGAACCCATTCATTTTTCTTTTTTTTTTTTTTTTGTCTTTTGTCTTTTTCCGTGTCCGGCAACGGATCGCAACCCTCAGTGTTGCCCCCGTACCGGACCGGGGACCGGCAACGGGATTGCAACCCTGGGTGTTGCTCCCGTGCCTCACTCAGCCAGTGAGCGGGAACCGGTCTGTATGTGGGATCCGAACCCTCGGGCGGGAGCGCCGCCGCGCTTCCCAAGCGGCGCACTTATCCAGTGCGCCACCGGGCCGGCCCAGAACCCATTCATTTTTCCATGTCAGGAGTGCTAAGGGGAACTGTTTATTAACTGGATTGGTTGAGAGAGGTGGTCTCTTCGGATACAGCTGTCTTTCAAATCATTGATAACTTTATTAAAATAATAAATTTTCATTGAACAAGTACGCAAGTATATATGCCAGATTCTGCTAAGTATTGGGTATGCAAAGTGATGGGTAAGTACACACTTGTCCAGAAATTTATTGTAGTGGGGACAGCATGTTAAACATATATTTATAAATGGTCTTGTGTGCTACAGTGGAAAAGTACGGGATGCAATGAATGAGACTCTAATCTAAATTTGGAAAGGGTCAGAGGAGGCCTTTAGTGGAAATAATGTTTAAACAGATCAATCAGATGTGTAGTCAGAAAGAGGGACATAATGTGCATAGGCCCAGAGGCAGGAAAGAATTTGGAAAGTTGGAGCTGAAACTGAAAAAAAAAATGAGCGAGGGGCTGATGAGGTTGATGAGATCAGCAGTAATTTGAGGAATGCTAAATGAAACAACCAGAACATGTTTCATATGAAAGAAGAGGCCAAAATGTAATATGTATTATGCTTTAGGAGGCATAATGAGAGCACAGAAAAAAATGTGTACTCCATTTTTTAAAACACAGCAGAAGGGAACTAGATGGCAAAACAAGACATTTCAATGGGGAGAAGGCTTATGCAGTATGTATTTTTTAATATATGGATTGATTAATATAGTTGAACGGGCAAGAATTTCTAAGACGTTTTCTAAAAAGTAACATGTTCAGGGAGTAGGTTTTTCCCCACGACATGTTAAAACATTGTAAAGCTACTATAATCAAAACATGTGGCCTTGTCATGGGAAAGAACAGATACATAAGGGAAATGGAATAGACATTCTAGAAGTAGAAGGAGGGATATATAGGAGCTTGATAAACAGTAAAAATGGCATTTCATTTCAGTGGGAAAGGGATCTATTTTTTAAAAATGGTGACAACTTATGGAAGCAAATAATTTCAACATAAAATATGAATTTCAGATAGAATAAAAATCTAAATTATAAAAATTTTAGATAATAATATAGGAAAATATATAATCTTAGGGAAAGCCTTCTAAAGGAAAACAGGAAACTCAGGAAGCTTAAGGAAAAAATGTACAAGTTTAACCAAATTAAGATTTTTAATAATATGAACAATTTTTTTTAAAAAACCTGAGAAAACCAAAAAACAAACTTGGGAAAAAATATTTCAACAAATATTCCTGATATACAAAGAGTCACCAAAAATAAGAAAATGACAACTAATAGAAAAATGGACAAAGAAATCAATATATATATATATATATATCAGGCAATCCACAGAAAAATAAATGTAAATGGCCCCAAAACATGAAAAGATGTCTACCTTCCCCTGCAGACAGGAAATTCAAGTTAACATAATGAGACACCACTTTTTATCTCTCAAGTTGGTAAATATGAAAAATAAAATCAGTGCTACCAAGGATACAGAGAAATAGGCACTTTCATGTACTGCTGGTGGGAGTGTGAATTACTACAATTTGTGGGGAAGCAATTTGACATTCATTAAAATTTGTATTTGCAAATCCTTTGACCCACCAGCAATCACACCACAAAAAGGGGGCGGGGGGGCAGCCCTATTGCAGATGTAGTTGGAAACAACATGAATGTCCATTAATAGCGTAAGATGGTATTCTGTGAAACCTTCAAAAACGTTTAATTAGATCTATATATGTATTGATTATAATGACCATAATATATTGACATGAATACAAGTTTGTTATAGTGTGACACCGTTTGGAAGGAGAGGAGGAAGGAAGAAAATTTAAAATTCTTATATTTGTTGGTTTAAACCGAGAACAAAATATGCCAGGGTATGTATCAAACAGCTAACATTTGTCACTAGGAGAGGACTTTGAGGTTTTCCTTTGTATTGTTCATATTTTTAAAAGAATATAATTTTTAAAATATTTTTAAGAAATGAGTTATAGCAATTACTAAGAATAAATTGTGGTTTCAAGTGTACCTGAGAACTGAGTACATTTAGTGATTATTAGTTTCAGAAACTCACAGTTGAAGTCATTGTCAGTTACCTTTGAGAGTTATGATTGGAATGTTGGCATTTGATATCGTTTTACAGGCTTGGTCTTTAGAAACCATGTTTACATCCACAGTAACACAAATACCGAGATTGTAAATTAAGGAATAATGATGCTTTCTTGAGATACTACAGTCACATAGTATACAAGCTAGAAGATTGCCTGTTTGGAAAGTGCTTCTACAATTTGAAGGAAGATTGGCTTTGTAATTTGTTTCCCACAGTACTTTTTTCTCTTAAGGTTAAAAAGTAGTTACTGAAAACACCAACCATTAGCCTAGATGTTTGTCTAGAACAACATGCATCTTTACAGATTCTACTTGAGGAGGAAAGTAAGATTTGGACCACCTATGTGCACAGCATTCATCCATCTGTCTTCCTTAACCTTCCTTGGAAACTTCTTGGTCTGGTTTTGTTGTTTTATTCTTATCAAAGTGTTACATGCATATGGTTTTTATTTAAACAACTATCGAAGTGCAGTTTATGTATGATAAAATGCACCTGTTTTAAGACAATGCAGTGATTTAGTGAATTTACACTATTGTGCACCTGTCACCACAATGCAATTTTAGAATATTCCCATCACCCCATAAGTATCCCTTGTGCCCATTTGCAGTCACTCCCCATTCCCTCCCACAACCTCACAAATCTACTGTCTCAATAGATTTGCCTTCTCAGGACATTTCACGTAAATGAAGTCATACAATATGTGATCTTGTGCATCTGGCTGTTTTAATGTAGTGTTTTGAGAGTGTACCATGTAGTTTGTTCCTTTTTATTGCTGAATAGTATCCTATTATATGGATATACTGCATTTTCTTCAACCATTCATCTGTTCATGGACATGAGTCATTAACAGTTTTTGGATATTATGAATAATGCTTCTTTGCATTTGCGTGTACAAGAAGATATCAAAAAGTTAGTGGAAAAATGAAAGGATAAAAATGTAAACTTTATTTTTCAACATAAGCTCCATCAAGTTGAAGACGCTTTTGTAAGCAATGATGCCAGCCATTTAGTTCATCCCTAAATAACTGAGGGTCCTGAGAATTTAACCATCTCAACGTGGTCTTTTTTTTTTTTTTTTTTAAAGATGACTGGTAAGGGGATCTTAACCCTTGACTTGGTGTTGTCAGCACCACGCTCTCCCAAGTGAGCTAACTGGCCATCCCCACATGGGATCCGAACCCGTGGCCTTGGTGTCATCAGCACCGTACTCTCCCAAGTGAGCCACAGGCCGGCCCAATGTGGTCTTTTTTACGTTATTAACTGAAGAAAAATGGGTACCTTTTTAAGATTTTTTTTAAGGTTAGGAAACAAAAAGAAGTCAGAAGGAGCTAAATCAGGGCTGTAAGTGGATACTTAATGATTTCTCATAGAAACTCACACAAAATTAACCTTGTTTTGTGAGAGAAATGAGCAGCATTGTTGTGGTGGAGGACTCTGGCAAGGCTTTCCTGGGCATTTTTCTGCTAAAGCATTGGCTAACTTTCTCCAAACACTGTTACAATATGTAGATGTTACTGTTCTTTGGCCTTCTAGAAAGTCAACAAGCAAAGTCTGTTAAGCATCCCAAAACACTTTTGCCATGAACTTTGCTCTTGACCAGTCTGCTTTTGCTTTGACTGTACCACTTCTACCTCTTGGTAGCCATGGCTTTGATTGTGCTTTGTCTTAAGGATCGTACCAGTAAAGCCATGTTTCATCTCCTGT